ATGGAAGACTGTGTAACTAAGAACAGTGTGGTTTGCAATATCCATATTGATGCAGGTGACCTTTCCCAGAGAACTGAAATCTCATACTGTGTTCATAGGTATTTTTTTATGATACCGGAGTATTACAGTACTTCCTTATTGTTCTTCACTGTGAGTGTGCCTGGAACTACATCAGATGAACAGTTGAATAAGGCATAATCTGCATCTTTGACAAGACAGAACCATTACAGCCAGGTAGAATTTTACACGCCTAATTGCAATAATATGCTAATTGAACATTTTAGTGTAGAATAAAAAGTCTATGGGACCACAAGGGAGAAAGTTACTTGGTCTACTAAACTGAAGGACTTGATTTGGCCCAAGTCCTATTGTGGACATCAAATACCACAAGTCAATCAACAACACACTAACAGTAAAAATGTATGCACCCTTAGGGAAGTCAATGAGGTTTGCAACTGCTAAAAGGGACCAAATCCAGCTCTGTTCATTCCCCTCCTGAACAGAAACAGCAGGAACAGGAGTTGCAGAGAAAACCAATAATTAATTGTATGTAAGGAGGAAGAGGTGCTAGGAAGGCTTCTAGGTTCCCAGTGCTTTTGGACAACAAAACAGCAAGTCTTATTTTAATTGCTTTCCACTTAGTTTGACCTTAATTGATTTTTGAACTTCATTTATCTTTGTGCACTTCCAGAATCTAGCATGTAAAAACTACTCAGTGAGAGAAAACAAGAGGCAGGATAATTCAGTCGTAGGGAAATTAACCCTAAGCAGAGCTTAGGAAGGACTCAGTGACCCTGGCTACATAGGATCCAGATGTACTGCATCAGCCCCTCCTCCTCCTCTCCCGGTCATCACTCTTTGCCCCCATACTGGAGCCACTTACAGTCACGGTTCTACACTCGTCCCTGCCTGTTGAATTCCAGACAAACAGCCTCATAGTCTCAGATGCTCGCCTTAGGTCCAGCACCCTCTAGTCTGGTTGGAATGGATGCCTGGTTCACCAAGAAACTCAGCCCACTCACCCCAGTAAGTAACTCACCTGCCTCCACTGCAATTCCTACAGCATAGAATGATAGAAATTCACACAAGACTCAATGTTAGAGGGAGCAGAGGGGTTTTTGTGCATTTACCTGAAGACCCCAAGGGAAGCTTCCACACCAGGGAGATCAAATTTAGACCTGTGTTTCCAAAATCCCTCCCTTGTATTCAGAGTCTCATTATTACAGCATTTTAAACTGGCCCACACCACACCATCTCTGGAGAAGAGGTAGACATGTGTTCTCTCTAATAAATAAACACTTCAATTGATATCTCCAAGGGATCTTTAAATGAACTACAAAAGAAGGCTGGGAGTCCATGAGAAACTGAGAGTAAATCAACAAGATTAGCAAGCTGTGATCAGAGCAGCTTCTTGGAGGAGGGGGATGATGGATGAGAGGAAAGACAGCCTTGCCTTTTGTGTCAGGTTTCAAGAAGCCAGGCAGGTTCAACAATGAAGCTCAACAAGCAGATAAAGGCAGCTGTATGACACCTGAAGGCCCACCAGTATATGAGAGAGAGAGAGAGAGAGAGAGAGAGAGAGAGAGAGAGAGAGACAGAGACAGAGACAGAGACAGAGAGACAGAGAGAGACAGAGAGAGACAGAGACAGAGAGACAGAGAGAGACAGAGACAGAGAGAGAGACAGAGAGAGAGACAGAGACACACAGAGAGACACAGTACAGAGACAGAGACAGAGAGAGACACACAGAGAGAGAGAGACAGAGAGAGAGAGAGAAAGGAAAAGGTAATCTATCTGAGTAAGAACTACAAAAAGTAGACAAGAAGTGGAGATATGAAAGCAACTGAGTCAAGACAGAGGCTTCTGGGAAGTATAACCACATTATTTCATTAAATTGTAAATAGTCTGCCCATCTCTTTAGCATGTCTATAGAAGAATCAGACTTTCTGAAGAGTTGGATTAATCTTGAGGGGACAAGGGTATGTAATGGTCTAATCTTTCAACCATCCATGTCTCTACCCAGGGCCAGGAGTAGATCCCTGAGTGGAAACTCCTCTGAGTAGGAGGAAGTAACATTCCCTTAAATGGGCCTCAGCCAAGCCCTGAAACCTCCACCTTTTCATACAGCATTTTAAAATCTTAAGGAAACACAATTACAATCTTTTTCTTTTTGGTGTCACCAAAGAAATTGGAGATAGCATCCAAAGTGGATTATGAAGAAGGTCCATCATTAATGCCCTCCAAGGCTGTTAATGTCTGTCTAACTACAAAACAATAGTCAAAGACTTTGTTATGTCCTATAATGAAAATGAGATATGCATTCATTTTTCCTTCAAATTTCATGTTTCTTTACAAGTGAGTAAAAGTCTGCCCTATATACCTGCCACATTTCCATTTTCTGTTGATGACCATCTGGCCATTATCCTTGTTTTTCTTGTTGTTTTCATGGGTTGAGTTGTATACTTTTCATTTATTTTATTGGCATACAAGGTACTAGATTTCATTATGGCATTTTTTCTCATTTATTTTTCCTTTTTATTGAAAATAGATTTTTCTTACATAATATATCCTAATTATGGTTTCCTCTCCCTCTGCTCATCTCAGCTCCTCCCCACATTCCATCCCATCCAATCCACCACTTTCCTGTCTCTCCTTAGAACACAAACAGGACTCTAAGGGACAATGATAAAATAAAATAAGATGAAACAAAAAACAACACGTCATAATAGGGCAAAACGAACAAACAGAAGGGAAAGTGCCCAAGAAAAGTAAAAAAAAAAAAAAACAACCACAGATAGAGATACAGAGACTCACTTGTTTACACACTCAGAAAACCCATCCATTGAATAAATAAATAAATAAATAAATAAATAAATAAATAAATAAATAAATAAACAAACCAGAAGCCTTGGAATTTTTTAAACAAAATTTGTTTACGCTTTTCCCTTTCTTCTCACCCCCTGTACCATCCTCTCCACTTTCATGTCACAGGAGAACTTTTGTCCTGCTCTTCCCTCAACACCCTCCCATGGCCCCTATTGAGTTCATAGCCAACACCCACTCTCACACCCTCTTATTTGCATACATGCAAACATTAAGTTAGGATCTGCACAAGTATAGAATCTGAGGATTTTATTTTTCTGAGCCTGGGCCATCTCATTTAATACTTTCCAGATCCATCCATCTCCATGAATATTTCTTGTTGCTGTATTATTCATAATAACAAGGAAGTGGAGCCACCCTAGATGTTCACCAACAAGCATATGAAAATGTGGCATGGGTATGCAATGGAATTTTACTCCTCTGTAAGGAAATGAAATTTAAGGGAAGTAGATTGTACCATTGCCTTTAATTAGGTGATATATCAAAGTTTTCACCATGACTTTGGGTTTGATTACTCTCCCTAGCAGTACTGACAATATTAAGGGATTTTTAAGGCTGTGCTATTTAGTGAGAAGATTGTCAAGTACTGATGTTTCTCTGGAGAATGCAGACCATGCTTATTATGAGTCTAGTCATGGTCTTTCTTCTGAAGCTGCTCTGTGACTTCTCCTGGGAAGATGAGAAAAGACATCTACTCACCACAAATAGATCACTGGCAAAGACATGATTCCACCCAAGTCTCTACTCAAGTCCAACTTGGCAAATGGACAAGTTCAATGAGGTTGGGAGTAGGATGGGGTCACCACCGGGAGCATGGAGGACACAAAAATCCAACCCAGTATGGGCTATGACTCACAAAAGCTGAATCCTTGGAGCTCCCTGACTGACTGCAAGGCAGCTTAACAGAAGGGAGAGTCTCTCTTCCCCAGTAGTGGTTACCATTTACATAACCTTGGTAGGGACCTTGTGAATGTTGTTATTTTTGAGTACTTCCTGAGACTTGTGACTTTACTGAGATTATAAATTTTGTTCACTCCCTGAGACTTATAGCCTCCCTTTAGGATGAAATGTTGTAGTTCAGGGATTACTACATAATAAAAGTTTTATATATAGTATATATAAAAGATTACTATATAATAAAGGTCCAATTTTATTTTTATTAATATGGCAACATTGACTTTCAATTGGTTAGTGTTTCCATAGGTTTTCTCATCTTTTTACAGCTAATTTTTCTGTCTCAGGGATTATGACATTATTCCTATTGGTAGGATTTATAAAACAATGTTAATTGCCTGCTAACCTCAAAGTCTCAAATGTTCCTTTGGAATATTCACACAAAATTATATATATATATAAAATATTATATATTATATATGTGTGTGTATGTATGTGTGTGTATGTATATGTATGTATTCATGTATGTAGTCTTCTTGTGTTTACATTGACCACCATGCTATTTATTTTCTTTTTACTCTCGTGATTTCTCCTTCTTTAGCTTTCTGTCATGTTTTATGAGTTAATGACTATTGCAGTCTATTTTTATTAATATTTAAATTATAACTATGTCTGTGTGTAAATAAGGGTACTTTTGTGCAGATGTGTGCAGACTCCTATATAGGGCAGCAGGAACAGGTGCCTTAGAGCTGGAATTACATGCAGTGGTGAGCTGTATGAAGTGGGTGCTGAGAACTGAACTCAGGTCCTCTGCAAAAGCAGTATTACACCGTTATTATAAAGTCTGCTTGTATGTTTGAAGACCAGAAACAGAGTTTGGACTTGAAAGTGAAAAGGCATTTGCTCCATGTGACATTCCTAACACCTCTGTGGTGACCAGCTGGGCTGTAACTGTCATCAGCAGGCATCTGTCCTTCCAGCTGTCTAACCTGAGTCAGCTCACTTAGCTGGGTGGGGTCTGCAACTGCTGTGTTAGCACCTGAGGGCTGCTCTGTGCACTGAACTTGGAAACAGAGTCCTTCCTCAGCTTCTCAGACTTCATCATTCCGGACTGCACAACCCTTTTGTGGCTTTTCCAGAGATTTATGACTGGTGGTGAACAGTCACAAAAAGGGAGAAAACATCAAAAACCACTGACATTTCATTTACAACTGATTTCCAAGCACATGTAGTATTAAATGTTCTCTGTGAAGAAGAGAGAGCAGGACAGCCATTCCACAATGTTTACATATTTTAAAAGGTGTTAGACACAGTCAATATACAAAACTTGATTTTAGAAAGTATCTAGGTACACAGTCAGCCCTCCTTATTTGTAGATTCTCTGCCAATGGATTCAACAAATGACAGATAGAAAGTATTTTGGGGGGAGAGATGTTTTTATTTATTTATTTTACATCCCAGTAGCACTTTCCCCTCCCTCCTCTCCTCCCAGTCCCTACCTCCCATCCCCCCTCTGTTGCTACCCCCCAGTCCACTCCTCCTCCATTTCTGTTTAGAAAAGGACAGGTCTCCCATGAGTATCAACAACACATGGCACATCAAATTGTAGTAAAACTAAGCACCTCCACACGTATTAAGGCTGGGCACGGTAACCCAGTATAGGGAGTAGGGTCCCAAGAGCCAGTAAAAGAGTCAGAGACAGCCTCTATTTCCACTGTTAGAAGTTCCACAAGAGAACCAAGCTACACAACTGTCACATAGATGCAGAGTGCCTAGGTCAGTCCCATGCAGGCTCTCTGGTTGTCAGTTTCATCTCTGTGAGCCCCTGTGAGCCCCTGTGAGCCCAGGTCAGTTGATTCTGTGAGTTTTCTCCTGGTATCCTTGACCCCTCTGGCTCTTACAATCTTTCTCCCCCTCTTCTATACTATTCATCAAACTCCACATAATGTTTGTCTGTGGGTCTGCATCTGTTCCCATCAGTTGCTGGATGAAGCCTCTCTGATAATGATTGGGCTAGGTACCAATCTGCACCCAGGAGGTGGCCAGTTCAGGCTATGCAAATCTGCTATTGCTAGGAGTCTTACCTGGGGTCATCCTAGTAGATTCCTGGGAGATTCCTGGCACCAAGTTTTTATCTGACCCTGAAATGCTTGGAGGGACATGTTTTCATGCTAGACATGTGCAGACCCCTTTTATTCTGGTCATTATTTATGTATTATTTATTCCCTAAACAATACAGTATAGAAACTGTACAGCATTGACATTGTATTAAGTGTTATCAACAATCCAGAGACAATTTAAAATACATGAGATGGTATGAAGAGGTAATATGTAAATGATAAACCATTATTATGAGAGACAGGCGTCCCAAGATTTTGGTAGCCATAAAGAAATATGAAATTTATCTTCCATAATACCAAATATGGCTGTTGTTTTTTGTCAACAAATAAACATAGGGGTTAGGGAGATCAGGATATAAAGTGTTTATGACAAAAAGGATGCATATCAGAGCCTAGGTCCCCAGTACCCCTGAAAAAGCCAAATTGCATATGTAAAGAATTTGAATGTCCCCTAAAAGATCACTGAAGTACACAGCCTGACTTCTTTGTTGTTCTCCCAGCAGGCACCACCCCTTCAGGAACCACAGCATCCTTCCCCAAAACAACTCAGCAGACTCAGGCTCCTCAAGCTTGTTCTGCACAATGGGAACCACATACCTTACAGTCCCAGCTACATGCATGTACATAGTCCAAGAATGTTTTAATAAGAAATAACTGCAGAGCCCAAGAATCACTGACCTAGAAAGTCACTTAACTAAAACGAAAATCATGAAGGAATGAAATGCTCTATGTGGTGGCCCAGGGATATCATAAATGTCTCAGAGCTTGAGAAACCCCATGGAGCAAATTCCAAGGCAACAGAGTGTTTTCAATCACTTTGTCTAGTTCCAAAATTCATGCTAGTGTCACAGGAACACCATGTCTGGGAACAGCCCTATCTACCCCAGATCTTCACAGGACTCTGCTCAGTACAATATGTGAGAGGATGTCACTGTTCTCACAGGTTATTCATAAAGCAGCCTCCCTGGTAAAGCTGCTCCAGATGCAGAACTCACTGAGCCATGTGTCAGGTGACCTGTCCCATCCACCAGTTCCAAATACCACTCAATAGATAACTGTTGATTCCAAAATCTGAGTTCTGAGTTTTTGACCCAAATTCACTTATGTTTTGTAAACAAGATATGAACCACCTGCTCCTGGATTTGCTTGGTCTTGATTCCATAAATGATAGGATTCAACATAGGTGGGGCCAAAATGCAGACATTAGCCAGCAGGATGTGGATATGAGGTGGGATGTGGCGCCCAAACCTCTGAGTAAGAGTTGTGAAGATCCCAGGCCCATAGAAGAGGATAATGATGCAAACATGGGAGCCACAAGTGTTGAGAGCTTTGTGGCGAGCATCCTGGGAGGGCATGCTGAAGATAGCACGGAGGATCAGCACATAGGAAACGAAAATCAACACAACATCTAAGGCCACTGTTGACAAGAGGACAAACAACCCATACCAACTGGTTACCCGGATATTGTTACAAGCATATTTTGCCAAGCCTATGTGTTCACAAAAGGTATGTGGAATAATATTATTTTTGCAGAAAGTCAATCTTTTCAGAAGAAATATTATGGGGAAAATTGTACCATAACTTCTCAG